TTTTCGAGTCATTTGTTTACCTTGCTCCATAGTTACATTTGTAATAATTTTTGAGTTCCTGATCAAAATAAGTATAATCTATCTCTTTTTGTTTATCCTTTATACCCTTTCTTTGTTTACCCACTTACCCTTAGCCCCGTTACAAGCCGAATAAAAGTCCTAATTGATCTTTTTGTGTCACTTTTAAAATAATTGGATTAGAGAAACTTGGTTTATATTAGTTTAACTAGTTTAGCACTATAGGTGTTTGTGTTAGATTATTAACATGAAAGTTTCTAGGATAGGAATTATTACTCAAGTTACTCTCATTTTATTATTTTGTGACAATTCATGGGTTTTGGATAGTTTGGTGGACAAAAGAGATGATTTTGTGATTTGTAAAATTATGTATGTAAATTCTAACAACACATGTAAAGATTGTATTTGTAGTTTATTTTGCTTGAGGACAAGCAAAAGCCTAAGTGTGGGGAAGTTGATATGCACATATTTTATACACTTTTTAGGCATATTTTGAAGGAGTTTTGAGTCCCAATTGAATTTAATATTTATATTTTATTTCAATTTTCCGTTTTATTTTGGTAGAGCAGTCCTATGCTGGTTTTTATATGTTTTGCAGACATTTTGAGGTCATTTGGATGCATTGAGGATAATTACAAGGACGGAAAATAAACATGGATGTTTGGGACCAAAATAAATGGAAGAAATTTGAAGGAATGAAGGAATTAAACAAAAATAAAAGCCCTGGGATTCGAACTTTGGACTTGCGGCATGCGGAACCGGAGCTTTAACCATGGCACCGAAGCTGATTATTCGCCATATCACTGGCAAACACGGCTAAAGTTCTGAACTGAAAGTCGGCCATTGATTAAGAGAGAAAAAAATGACTAAACACCGACACTAGAGGGAATCAAACACGGGATCACGCGGCACAACAATCATCCCCAATTCCATGTGCGCTACTGTGCTTATGTTGACTAAAGTGGGACTGTTTGTATATACTCCGTATATACAAATTCATCTATAAAAACCCAACCCTTCTCTTCTTCAAAGAGGTTGGAACCCCCCATTTCTCTCCTCTCTCCCATCCGAAATTTCCTCCTCCATCACTAATATCTCACCACTTTCTTCATCCAAACACATAAAAATTACTCCATCTTCATCATCATTTATCATATTTGGAGCTCAAGAACACATCTTCCATTTTGTAAGATTTTTATTATTGTAATAAATATTTATTTGTTTAAGCTTCAAACTATGAACTTCTAAACTCCATTGGGGTTAGAAGTTGGTGTAATTAATTGTCCATCTTAATGTTTTGAATATTTTAAACATGGATTGTTAATTTTATTTTTACTTAGATGTTGTATTTAAAAATAAATAAATTTGAAATGTTTGTGATTTTTAATTAAGGGCCCAATCATAAACATAATTGTTACAAGGAATATGAACTAAAATTGATATAATCATAAAATAGAACACTTTTTAAATACACCGTAAGCCTTCTCTACCTTTAACC